ATTAGTATGGATGACATTTTGGGAGGATTNNTGGTGGACCAGTTTCTCAACCACAACCAACTAATAATGGAGGAGGTTTGAGCATGGACGATATTTTGGGAGGATTTGGTGGACCAGTTACTCAACCACCTGTTCAACAACCACCACAAAACAATGTTGGTGATTTCTTTGGAGGAGGTGTTAACATTGCTGCTCAAGCTGCCAACATGGGTAAGCAAAAGAAGGAACAAAGAGATACTACCGGATTCAACTTTGATGATGTTGTAGTTGCTAACAGAGATAATGCTCTTGAACAAAACGAACAAGTCCATCAAGACGCTGCTGTTAAGCATCAAGTTTTGCTCAAGTCTAACGAAGGTGTTGCCATTGAAGATGAACATTTGCAAGTCAAGATTAAGACTGAATATCACGGATGTAAGGGTAGACTTATTCTCCTCTATGGTAACAAGACTACTAATCCATTGACTCAATTCAAGGTTCACATTCTCGTTCCAAAGGAATTGGAAGCTCAAATTTCCAAGGTTCCACCAATGATTTCACCAAAGACTCAAGTCCAACAATATGTTGACTTGGTTGCTAAGGGCCCATTCAGCCAATTGACTGATTTGGATTTGTACTTTGAAGCTAATCGTAGATATTACAGATTCAACATCAAGTTGCCAATCGTTCCACACAAGTTTGTTGAACCATTGGTCATCCAAGGTGCTGAAAACTTCTTTAAACAATGGCACGCAATTGGAAAGGAACAAGAAGTCCAAAAGATTTTCCCATGCACTCCTGTATATTCTGATGTAAATGCCTGTGCTAAGGTTTTGTCTGAAGGTTTCCGTTTGGCCATTTTGACTGGTATTGACAATCCAAGTAATATTGTTGCTGCTGGTTCTTTCTTCTATGATCCTGTTGGTAAGGTTAACGTTTTATTACGTCTTGAATACAATGCTCCAAAGCAAGCTTACAGATTAACTGTCAAGGCTCAAGATGCCACTATTGCTCAACAAGTTTTCAATTACATCTTACAAGAACTCACCTCCCAATAATTTAAATAAACCTAATTTATTTACTTCGTGTAAAAATGATTAATCTATTATTTGAGCTAGCTCCAATTAGACATTTGCAGCCTATTTATTGGAGAGATTCTCAACTTTGTTCATAACATTTACTCCAAAGTATTATTTGGAGATAGGTAGGCTTCATAACAGAGCTCAAAATAAATTACTCCAAAGTATTATTTGGAGATAGGTAGGCTTCTTGATTGATTGTCAAGGTAATATTATCATTGTTTCTTGTTGGTGTTTTGGGTTCATTCAATGTTTCAAGATTTGCAGAATTTTTCTTTTGTAAAATGTTTAAACTTGTTCTCAACATGTCAGTGAAGGATGGAACAAGAGCTGGAGTGTGATGTTTCTCATGCAACATGTAAGCAATACATTCACCTTTTCCTTTCACATTTAAATGTCTTTCTTCAAAAGTGAAACCCAAATCATAAACTCTTTCGTAGGTTGATCTGGAAATTTGAATTCTTCCTGGAATTGAATTAGATTCCATTCTTGAAGCT